CTGACCGCGCTGCACCACGGTTAAAATTCACTGGTACCGTCATGCAATGCGCCAAATAGAAAATTTTGATTTCGACCCACAAAACAAAATTAGGATCTGCTGCCTTGCTCGCTCGCTTCAGGCTCGCTCGCTGCGGCAGCAATTATTAATATGAACTTGCACATTGCAGTTTGTTTTTTTTCACCTAATATGTACTGTGTAAGCAAACATTAAATGGGCTATCTTGAAAAACCAATTTTTTACAAGAAAAATGGGAGATTTCTTGAACAAAACCAACTAGGATGGTATAATTAGCTGCATACAGTACTACAGTACTGTATTTTATACAACTAATCACACTACAGTATGTATTCTAGCCAGTAGGTCTAGATACAGTCTGAGTTACTAGATAGTTCCTCGTGTTTACACTATGATGGTACAGCCATCGATGGATAATCTAGAGTGCAGCAGCTCGCTATCAATGGCATTTTTCATGTAACATGTGATCGTGCATTTGTGGGTGGCAATTTGTGGTAGAAATTTACTGTTCTGCACTTATTCTGCATTTAGAGATATTATTATGGTTACACATAAATTGCAAAACATTTTGTGGAAAATATAACAACATCTGCACAACAAAACTGGCATTAATTAAAGAAACTTTTCAATATTTCTATACAGAACTGCAAATAATACAAAACTGGTGTCATTGTCTACAGTGATCCACAGTGATTCTTCTCGAACTATGCGAAGTACAATCATTAATTGAGATAAGTTGTGTTAATTGTTACTTTAATGTAAGCATTGCTGACAAACTGCTAAAATGACACAACAAATTAAACGACCTTTAGTTTCAATGCATTAAAGATGCTTTTCTGATCAACAAGACAATACAGACTCAAGGTAAACTAATTAAAATTATTTAGTTTCTGGATTGTTATACGTTATGAACATGCTTTTAACACACAACTACAAATTTTAGTCACCAAAAAGATTTTGTTCTTAATTGTTTTTAAAGTGCCGTCTTTTTAATTTTTTATGTTTAACCCTTTAAGTGGCAATGCACCCTACTTTATTATTTTACTCTATCTAACACCATATGATTTTACTCATCAGGGGGAGAGTGCAGCCACTCAATGGGTTAGGACAAGTTGTATGTTTTAGTATTAATTTAAATGTTTAATTTTAGAAGAATAGCTGAATACATGTGAAACATATAAAGCACTTGGCCAGTGTTGTTCGATGTTTATATTGTTTTTCGCAATTTTGGTTGGAGAAAAGTACATTTTGGGCATAGGTATTTAGTATCAATAGGCTGGGATTTTTAAATTTGTGGGTAGTGTTTTGAGTTTAAAGATAATTGTCTTCACTGCTAGGTTTGTCCCTAAAGAATAACTCTTTTGGACCACAGTCAAGCAGCGCTCATGTTACGCCGGTCATGGTGACTGGTCAGTTCCAATTGTGACCGTGGTCAAATGCAATTTCTGACCGGTCAACTCCCACAAGATCACACAAATACTTGCCTCCCTACAAAGCATTGTTCAACTTTTGAGCCCAGTCAAGATATCATAAAAAGCTGCCCGCTCCTGCAGCCAATCAGATTGCAGGAAATAAAAAAATATCACTATTTGACACTATAGCCTATACCGGTAGTCATACACAAATAAAAAAACGTATTTCCCTGAAGATCATGGCTCTGAAATAGACTGACAATATATTAGTGTTTACTGTTTATTCTAAAATAACCCAGATCAACACAAACCTTATATGAACCCCTAGGCCACGATGTTTCCCTGAACATTCAAGACATATCCAAATACCATAAGTGACACTGACCCATTGTGGATTGTGTCCGCCACATTCGAAACATGTCTTAAAAAATACAGAAAGAATATCAAATCTATATGTCAGTAAGTTATCGTCGAAAGTTTGATAAATCTTACGTTATTATCTTCTTTTGGTTTTATTTCTTTTAACACTCGACGTGTCCTTGGACTTGCCATTTGTAACTTTTTTGTTGATGACCTAGTCGGATATAGTCGGATATAGCCGGCAGGAATAAATTTTGTTTCAGTACTGACCTCGAAATAAACTGGATAACTGAGCTTGAATTTGAACTGGATAGAACCTGAACTTCTCATGAAATTTTTATTTCATAATCTTCAAATCTTCACTGATTTTTGAAACCGTTACTTAAGAGTGTGTGAATCATCTTTACTAACAAGGAAATATCGTTTCTTAAATAATCTGAAAGATACAGCTACACTGCCTGGAGTCTGGATGCTCCACTGATTTTCTCGAGTTGAGATCAGTGTTCGAGAATTCACCTGATTGGAATTCACCTCCCCCCCCCCTCCATTGTGACAAGGGGGAGACGATAGTTTTATTTTTAAAATGTAACTCAGTACTTTGACCCGTCTCATTGTGTATTTTTTACACAAACACGTTGTGTAAATTGGGAATCCTTATCCTTGTCGTAATCATGTAAGTACTAGTTTAAATTGTTTTTGTTTTTAAAATACCTGATTTAGCCTCCAAACAATACCTTTATCGTTTGATCGAATTGATGATCATATATGATGTATGTTTTCTAGGTTGAACAGGGTTTTTACATCGAGTAGCATTGCTGCTGGCCGGAGAATAAACACGATTACCAACCATATTGTAAGTGTACTGTGCCCTCATTAGGGTGCATTCCATGTAAACTCTACGTCGGAGATAGGATAACATAATATTTGCCTTGATCACGCCATTACATTCAAAACAATTTTACTTTTGGGGACTAATATTATTAAAAACCCATGTATTAAATAAAGCCTCACTCCGCAGTGCCTTAATAGGGAAAAACCTCAAAAATGTGCTCTAGTGCAGCACTTCACTGATATATCAGATTTATATTGTATGAGTAATGAGTTAATTCCAACTTGCATCATGGTCCTTCTTGTGGTGGGGTGGGGGTCAGATATTTTTGTGCATGGATAAAAGGGAGCCAAAAAGGACCGTGGAAAAGGAAGCTATAGGGGCTTTAAACTCGGGTTGTGGCTGGTTGGGTTCGAATATACCATTCTGGCTGATAGCTCACAGGCCTGCAAATTAGTGCCGGTCATCAGACATTGTCCAGGCAAATTTTAGCTTTTGTCCGATCAAAGCTTTTTATGAGCAGACATGTGACCGACTGATTTAGGTTGGTCAATTGTGTAATATAAAAACAAAATTTGGCACATTTTTGCTAACAAAATCAAAGAGTGATAAACAACACTGTCCATTAATTTCTTCCTGCAGTAAGCCGTAAGATTTGATTAGTTACCAATATCAATCTAAATCACCTTCGTATAGCATGGTAGAAGTAAAACCTGAACCATAATTTACTGATGCAATTAGGACTGGTAGATATTATACTCAACAGTACATGCATTATTGTAGTGTGGACCAACAACGACCAGCCGAAAACATCATGTTCAAAAAGATGCGAAACATTTTACTTTGACCATTGTCCGAGAAAATTTGAAATGTCCGACCATATTTTGTCTTGGACGGACATTTGTCCTTCCAATCAAAATAATTATTTGCAGGTCTGGCTCAGTTGGTAGAGCGATGAGCTTGTAACCCAGACGTCGCCGGTTTGAATCCGACTCAGTCCCTTTTCCTGTTCACTAAAAAAAATACTTTCCCACAGATTTGAAGATTTGTAATCCAGACACAATCCGGAGAACACTGTATAATTTTGTAAATTAAAATTATAATTTTATATATATATATATATATATATATATATATATATATATATATATATATATATATATATATATATATATATATATATATATATATATATATATATATATATATATATATATATATATATATATATATATATATATATATACAGTATATATATATGTTAGTTGTGTAATTGTACACTCTGTAATATGTTAAGATGAAAATGTTCTAGAGTGTGTATTATTTATATAATTTCCATACCCAGCGCAAGCAGAAAGATGTTGTCTGCCGCGGCTGGGTCTCGAACCCTCGAACTCGCGGGTTCGAGACCCAGCCGTGGCAGACAACATCTTTCTGCTTGCGCTGGGTGTGGAAATTATATAATACACACTCTAGAACATTTTCATCTTAATAATTATATATATTATATATTATATTTAACAAATATAAAACATTTTCCGTGTTGATATAAAGTTATATCAACACGAGTGGAAATTGGGAAAACGAGAAATTGTGTGGAAACACGACGCCCGAAGGGCGGAGTGTTTTCACACAATTTCGAGTTTTCCCAACTTCCACGAGTGTTGATATAACTATATATCAATACGGAAAAATGTTTTATATTTGTTTTATAATATAGCAATGTCAAAAGTCCGAAGAATAAGAAAAATTTCCGTGTTAACAAGCGGCGGAAAATTTCCCGTGTTGACATGGAGTTATATCAACACGGCTCTTAGCCAATCAGCGTTCAGAATTTACAAATGCTATATTATAAATATATATATATATATATTATATATATAT